TCAACTATAGGATTATTTCCATGAGAGTGATTATGGTGGTAATGCGTTACTGGATTTTCGGGCGATAGGTTACGTACCGCGGTATTTTGGGGTGCCGTTAGATTGAGTCTGTTGTTGAAACATTCGCGTCAAATTAGAAATAGATGACTGCACTTGGACCTGAAATTCAGCAAACATATCCTTAGTAACAACTGCCGCACCGGGAGCCGAGGCTTGAACATTCTGGGCAGTAGAACTGTCCACATTTGGGCGAAATTGAGTAATAACGCTTGCAGTATTATTCCTTTGTTCCGTTGCTAATTGATCCGGAGTTCTTGTTGCTGAACGCGTTACTGGCCGAACGTACGGTGCGATGTGTGAAGTAGCTGATTTCTTGCTGGGACGACCTCTTCTAGGCATTATGAAAGAAATTGATCTCGAGCGGGAGACAAAAGATTTGATTTAAATTGACGCAGACTGAATAGAGTAATAGCGAAATAGAGCCAGCGAAGCGTAGCAAACTATGAATGAATGGGGAACAAAGAAAATCTAAGAAAAGAAGTGACGCTACGTGTCGAGTGCAAAATAAAGACTGATTGGCTGAACAATGTTGACCAAAGGAACAACTCCCTGGTGGACAAAGGTCAAAGGTGACTGAAATCGAGGGGCATGTTGCTTAGTGCATTTACAAAAATAGATTTGACACTGCAAATCTCCACTTTATTTATTTATTTATTTATTTATTTATTTATTTTATTTATTTTATTTATTTTATTTATTTATTTATTTATTTATTTATTTATTTATTTATTTATTTATTTATTTACTTATTTACTTATTTACTTATTTACTTATTTATTTACTTATTTACTTATTTACTTATTTATTTACTTATTTACTTATTTACTTATTTACTTATTTACTTATTTACTTATTTACTTATTTACTTATTTATTTATTTATTTACTTATTTATTTATTTACTTATTTATTTATTTACTTATTTATTTATTTACTTATTTATTTATTTACTTACTTATTTATTTACTTATTATTTACTTATTATTACTTATTATTACTTATTATTACTTATTATTACTTACTATTACTTATTATTACTATTAC